GCCCTTGTTTGAGAATCATTGATCTAGTGAAATCCACAGATTCACAGCCATTCATTCAAACACTGTTTATTCAAACATCTCATAAACATTATGTGGCAGGCACTGGGCTAGGTTGTGACACACAGCGATGAATTAGGCACCACTGCTGCCTCAAAGATTTCACTATCAGAGGGATTACCTGATCGGATTGTTAAAACCCGGTAAAGGCAGTGACAGAGACACGAACAAAATATCAGTGAGGTGGGGATGGGGGCAGGGAAGACGGGCACCAAGTCCAGCTTAGGGACAGGTGGAAGGGTGTCAGGGATTGCTTCCGGAGGTGACATTTAAGCTGCTTCTCTAAAGATGGGAAGCAGATTCTCCAGGGAAAGAGAGGACCGTTTGAGCAGAGGCACAGACACAGAAACAGCACACAGCAGGCCCGAGAGCAGTTGGCCATTTCAGCAAAAAATTCCCAAAGAGGGAGAGGCGGGGGATGGAGCCAGAGAGGCCGGCAGAGGTCAGGCCGCCGAGGGCCTGCCATGCCTCACTGGGGAGCCTGCCACGAAGGGCCGAGTCGTTTACGTAACTCGCATGGTGGCTGGCAGGGCGCACGCCCGCCTCAGCACGCAGCACGTATTATTAGATGATGATCATGAAAGGCGAATCTGAGAAACCACAAAACTCTAAGCAGAGCCAGAATCCCTTACGTTCGGAGGCTCCAGATAGTTATCTGACTCCTCTGCCCCTTTGCAAATTCAGCTGAGATATGTGGCCATGGTGGTCAGCCAGCCCCGAGGCGCTGCCTCCTTGGCAGTTGGCTCAATAAGTGCGGCTGGAGAATGGTAAGGGGGGAGAGGGGAGAGAGAAGAAAGACAGAGAGAGAGGGAGGGAGGCTGGCAGACTGGAAGTCCTGCTGGGAGACACAGCAGGATGGGGGCTCAGAATGCAGGGGTAGAGAAGCAAGCACTTCAACCCAAGGTGGTGACTTCTGGGGTGGAGGGGAGGACGGGCGCCTCCCAGCGGATTCTGCAAGCCCTCCGACAGCGAGGCCACAGAGCTGAGTGTGTGGGCAGGACGGGCACTCCGCAGCGGAGGGCAGCTGGGACAGAAGCAGGGTCTCTAGTCTGAATGAACCTCGGGATTCACACACATCTGGACCACGGGCAGGCTGGCCCCAGGAGGAATCCATCTGCCTGAGTGTTCAGATGCTGCCCGAGGAAGTCCCTCCTGGAGGAAACGGGAACCCAGCCTGATGAGTCTGAGCCACAACAAAGATGGGGGCCCCCGCTGATGGGAAACCTGAAAGCAAAACCCAAAACAGTAAACCCCCGGGGCACAGACCGTTCTGCTCAGACATTCGTCTAACTAGTGCGGCTCTAGAGGGACCAACATACTCTTCCTTGTTTTGAAACAGAGCAGAAAGCAGCGCTGGTTCTTTGAGGGCTTCAGGTCCTCAGCTCCAGGGGAAAAGCGACCCAGGGGCCCCCGGCAGGAGGTGGAAGCCTGGGGGACGGGGGTGCCCGCGGATGCTCACCGGCACGTGTGAGGCACGCTCTGGGCTTCTAGAAATGACTCAGGGCCACTCATGGTGCCTTGACGTTGCACGTGAGCTGGCAGAGGCCAGAACTAAGGGAACGTGGGTCAGACAGCCAGTGGGGTCCCCTTCTGTGGGCGAGACCTGGGGAAAGCGGGCTTGCACTCGGCGAGCGCCGACTCTAGCCCCCCGCGCGCCGGCGAGCGAGGGAGGCCCGCCCCTCCCGCAGGAGTCTGCCCCGGGGCCTTTGTCCCCACATTTTCTCCTGAATCTTCCCAGAGGTAGCAGGTGTCCGGGGCCTTAAATGCTCAGCCTTGGGCAGGACTCCTCCCGGTCCCTCCCCTCCGCACAAGCTCATTTCGTGTCCCTCAAGTCCCCTGAGCAAACGCTACCCCGAACGCCAGGTGTGGGCACACCGGTCCATCCGAGCCCGGCGGAGTCACGGGGTGCGGAGAGACCGAGGCGGAAGGTGGGAGGACGCCAGCCACAAAATGCTGTTTCGTTTCCTGCTTGGTGTTTCTCTGTGCGTTCCAAACCATCTAGAGAAAAAGGCAAACATGACTTTTTCAAAATCAAATGTAGAAAGGAAACATTGCTTTGCAGCAGTCTACGCGAGCTTCGTGCACTTTCCCTTATGGTCGCTGTGGAGGTGTCTGAAGGCTACTATATAATCACCAGGAGGAGCAGAAGGCGACCTGGCCGCTTGTGACAGAGGTGGGTCCAGACTGCGCGCACCCACGTGGGGACGAGGGCCCTGTCGCCGAAGGAGCGGGACACTGGCACTGCCTCCCTCCGCTCACCTCCACCAGCTCTTGGCTCATCTGGAGAGAGTGATTGACAACCCCAGAGGCTGCTGGGCAACTGTGTGAAAGCGGGGTCCACGGAGAGGCCCCGTCCACCTGTTACTCTTTTCTCTATCGCTTCACATCCATAGGGGTCCCTAAGCCCCAGGAGAAAGGTCAAGTGCAAATCTGGTAAACCAAGAAGCCCCAGCAGTTGTCAACTTAATTAGCCTTCAGGGAAAATCTATGGCCATATGAGTGCAGTGGCGTTGCTATGGAGACAGGCCTGGGAGGCGCATTTAGAACAGGGCCTCATCACATCACTCGATATAAATAAGACCCAGGCTTTTTAATAGAACGAATTACTTAAGTTTTATATTTAACAGGGGACGATACCGAGGCTATTACTGGTTTTCAGAATATTTTAGGAATCCCAGCGGCCTGCTTCTGCATGTGTTAGCAGCCGTCAGGATGCACACTCGGGGGGCGGGCGGTCAGGACCTGGAGGCCCACATGTCCCTCCCGTTCCCTGGGATGAGAGATGAGACGAGAAACCTCCTTTAACTGGGTGAGCGCTTTTCAGCGTGTTTCTGAGAAAGGCCCATCGTGCTCTGCTCTCAGCCCTTTGCCTGTATTACCGCTGACCTCTAAGATAATCCTATGTAGCAAGCGTCTCATTTCCCAGATGGAAAAGCGAGGCTCAGAGAGGTTCACAATTTTCCCAAAGTCACACAGCTAACAGGTAGTGGAGTTGAGACTCATATTCAGGTGTCCTCTGTTCTCATGCAAAGTCCTTGGCTTCGTAAGACACTAACCACAGTCTCAACACAAAGAATCTGGGATGAGATGATGTGATTCACTATTTTTATTGACATTTGGCACAGACCTCCTTAGGGTTTACTCTCTCCTCGAAAGTAGTCCCAAAGTGGATGGCTTCCAAGAAGAAATCCGCAGAGACTCTGACCCCTGCTGAGGAACTCCTCTCCATCCAGCCGAGGCAAGCGTTAACTTCTGACTTCTTACCGTCCCAGTGTGCTTCTGGGCCGCCTCCTCCTCAAGTCAGATCAGCGGCTTAGTTCACACCAGGTCCCAGAGTCAACCTGGGAGGAGGGTGTTAGCTGTTCTTGCAGGCACGGATGTGTGAGCACACGAAAAGTCGCTGGAAATCCAAAGTGAAGGCCCTTGTGTTTGACGGCTTTGTCTTTGGGTTACTCAAGGCCCTCCTAGTCCACAGAGAGATGCTTTTTTTTAAAATGATGCTTTTCTTAAGCGAATTTTCTAACAAAGGCCGACATGGTAGACCCGACCTGTGCCTACGAGGTGCCAGTCTTTCCTTGCTGGGAGGCGGGACGCTGCCAGCGCTGACGGGCAGAGCCTAAGGCACTGGAGGTGCCGGGGAGGGGAAGGCGGCCGAGGAGCCGGGGGCCCCACAGTGAGGGCTAAGCGGAGGTACAAACCCGTCTCCACTCCCCGCTCAGTTTACTGACCAAAGGTAATGGCAGGAGGCAGCTGGGCTTCAAGGGGTAGGAGAGCGCGTCTAGGACAAAACTGAAAGGCAAGGTTTGACGGAAACCCTAAGCAAAGCATCGGTCCAGGCGGACTAGGCTGGGGAGCAGAAGGCAGGCAGATGCCGCAGACTGGAGGCGGGGCCCGGGCCAGGGCAGGCGGGGGGTCAGAGGGGAGGGCTGGGGTCTCGGGAAGTCCCTGAGCCGTGCGCTTCATCCCAGGAGATCTCCCCAGGCTGCCCGCTGCCTCCAGCCTGGGAGCGTGGGTGGATCACTCTGTGCTATTGAGATAACTCTGTGGTGTCCTCCTGGCATCTGACAAGAGCAGTAAGGAGGCTGTGGGAATCTAACCTCTATTACAGGCAACTGTGCAGAGGTTAAAGCACAGGCTTTGGACTCAGGCCGGCTTTGTAAGTTCTGGCTTTGCCCCTTACTAGCTAAGGTCACTCTGGCAAGTCGCTTAAGCCCTCTAACCTCAGCTTCCTCATCTGTAAAATGGGAATGATGTCGGTCAGAGGCCAAGGGTGAGCCCCCATGTGAAACTGGCTGGGGGCTCTGTGAAGGGTCAGACACAACTGCTCTGTAGGCTGGGTGAATGCGGTGGCCAGGATGGGAGCCGAAGACTGACCCTAGTCCTGCTCCTCCTGCAGCCCTCCAGCTCCTTGGATACCACCTCGTCTCTGCTCTCTCTTGCTAAAGGGGTTCAGCCTCTCAGGGACCCCCAGCCTCTGCTGCCCTCAGCCATGAGCTCTCTCCACACCTCGTCTCCAAGGTAACTCATAAGCCCTGGTCATCACTGGCCACCAGGCCTTCCTCCGTCTTTACCCTTTGCCCTCTAAATAAGGAAGCCAGCACCACCAGGCCAAGAACTTCTGCCCAATTTGGGTCCTGGGTGGCCTCTCGCCTCCCTCTTGCCCTGGGCCCCCAGCCAACTCCTCCCTCCCTCTGAGATGCTCCCTGCTCACTTCATTCCTGCCTCATAGTTGGAATGACAGTGGCTCCCAGAATCCCTGGGGTGTGGGGAGGGAGATGGGGGTCTGGGGAGGCAGCCAGGCCCAAGAGCAGATTAATGTTACAGCCTTGGATAAGTGAGCTGGGGCAGGTGACGTCAGGGCGCCGATGGCTGGAGGGGAGGGCCGTGTAGCTGAACTATAAAGATAGGTCAAATCAAATATAATCAACTCGGGTCGGAGCAAGCAGGCCAGCTCGACCGCGTCCCCGAGCCATGGTCCCTACCAGCCGCGGCTCAGCCTGGGTCCCTCTGCTCCAGTCCCGAGTGCCCAAAGCAGGCTTTGGTTTCATGTCAGCAGCCTTCAACTGCCTTCCAAAAATAAGCCCCTGCCGCCATGCCGAGCAGAGAAAAACAAGAAGGGCGGTATTTTTAGGGCCATTAATTCTGACCACGTGCCTGAGAGGCAAGGTGGATGGCCCTGGGACAGAGGCCGCTCATCACTATGTCCCGGGGAGCAGGGTGTCTGTGGGGCACACTGCGGGCCCTCGTCCTCCTCGGCGTCCTAGTGGGTATGGTGGAGCCCTCCCCCGTGGGCATCCGCGCCAACAGCACGCGGCTGGGCTCGAGGGGCTGGGGCGCCCTGCTGTCCAGGTCTCGCGCAGGGCTGGCCGGGGAGACCGCTGGTGTCCCCTGGGAGAGCGGCTATCTGGTGGGGCTCAAGCGGCAGAGGAGGCTCTACTGCAACGTGGGCATCGGCTTCCACCTCCAGGTGCCGCCCGACGGCCGGATCAGCGGGACCCACGAGGAGAGCCCCTACAGTGAGTGCCAGCTGCAGCCAGTTGGGAAGCCGGGGGCCGGGGTGCAAGCAGGGATGGAGGATGAAGGGGCCCTGAGCTGGTGCTTGGGGTCCCCTTACGAAGAGGGGAAAAAGCGATTCTCCCTCGGATGCTCGTCAGGCCAGCCCCCTCCCCCAGGCTGGCTCTGACCCTGCATGTGCGGGGCCCCGGCATCCTGGTGACCTCTGCCGTCACCCCACGGAGCCTCTGAGACAGTAACTGTGTCAGCATCACGGGCCCAGCCGTGGCCTTGCAGGACCACCGGGAGCCACCAGCCTGGGGAGCCATGCGGCCAGGGTGGGGAGAATGGGTGAGGATGCTTGGGCCGAATCAGACACAAGCTGGTTTTTACTTAGCTTCCCCGTTTGAGGGGGAACGACAAGTCATTTGCAGAGCTTCCAGCTGAAGTCCCCCTTCTGGCTTCCCCTTGCCTCCTCCGTCCGACCCGCCGAGGTGGGCTCTCCCCGAGGGGCTGGGGCTGCAGGACCCCGACAAACCGGCAGCCTCGCGTGGCTGCAGTGTCGCAGGCTAGATGGGCAGCGGGTTGTTGAAACACGGGGCGTATACGGTTTGAACAAAACTCATCCGGGTTCACTTTTCTCACCCACATCGAGGACTGTATAGGATTAAGTCGATGAACGCCCAGCGTCACCGCTGACCCTGGGTAGGTGCCTCAGTGGCCACGGCGAGCTCTACCTCCGATGCCAGAACTCACTGGGTTCTCAGCAGTGTGTGGGCAGGACTGGCCGAGGCAGGCAGCCCATCTCCTCAAGTGAGACAGGGAGGGGGCGACGGAGGGTCCGACCTTCCAGGAGCGGGGGACGGGCCTCAGTGCCCCGGGAGGGTCACCTGCAGCATCCTGTCCCGCTCTGATTCCCACCAGCCTGGGGTAACGCGGCCCCTCTGTCTTTGTCAGGCCTGCTGGAGATCTCCACGGTGGAGCGGGGCGTGGTGAGTCTCTTTGGGGTGAAAAGTGCCCTCTTCGTTGCCATGAACAGTAAAGGAAGGCTGTACACGACGGTGAGTCCCCCAGGCCGGGAGCGGCGCGTGTGCGAGGCCTGAAGCTTACGCGGTTGACGATGATGCAAAACCTTGAGCAAAGACAGAGTGTTTGTGTAGAAGGAGGGGGAGGGGCCTGGAAGGGGGCTGTGCAAGTGAGGCGCTCACCCTTTGTGTGCTGCACAGTTCATCGGCCTGTGCTCTGGGCCGTGTTTTTCCTGATCCGGCCTCCTGGAGCCTTGTCATTAGACAGGAACCCCGGCTCAGGGGGCTCTTAGGTCCCAGGGAAGCCTGCATTCCAGCAGAAAGCTGCCATCCAGGCATACGGTCAGGTTAGATTCCCTGAGCTGGAGAGGCCTGGACAAGTGGCCTGCCTCTCAGCCCCCGGCCCAGAGCACCATAAGAGGAGAAATAAGGCTCTTTTCCTCAACTTCGTTAGTACGTGGACATTTTACTTGAAGGTTTAAGTCCTCTGATCTCTGATCCCATGGGCCGGAGAAGCAGCCTCCCTGTTACAGCCCCTTAGCTGGCGCCAGTCCCCACCCCCTTCCTTCTCCCCATCACAGCCCCCCCCCGGGGGGGGCAACGCCAGCACTTTGGTTCAGCTCTCCAGCTTCTAAGCACTTTTACCAAGACCCCTGCTCTCTCAGTCCACCTCATTCCTGGGTCTCTCGGCCCATGACTTGACTTACTCCAAAACATGGGCTGGGAAATCATCCCGAGGAAGGCGAAGACACTGGGAGTTCTTCTGACAGAAATCAGAAGACAAAAAAGGAAGGTCTCTGAGCCAACGTCAAGGAATAGCAGAGTTATTTACGGGGAGGGTGTGGAGGGCTGTCCTGCCTCTGCGTGGGGACAGACTGCCGGTCAGGAAGCGGGCAGGGAGGTCTGGGATCGGTGCTGGGGTCCGGGGAGGCTGTGTCAACAGACAAGGGTTGTTAAGCACCCAAATGGGGTGCCTGGGTGGCCTTGGCCCGCCACCTTCAGCACTGACACCTCTTGGTGCAGGTGGGTTTACGTGGAGACAAGGCATGCATTAAAATTAGGGGGCCTCCGAAGACAGGAGCAGGCGGGCAGGCGGGCAGGTGCTGGATCTCAGTCCGGGCTGCGCACCAGGCGCGCCTCTGCTGCCGGCCTTCCGGGCAGGTGTGACCTGTAGTGCCTGAGACAGGTCTGCACTCAGCCCTGATTGACCTGAGAACTTGGAGACCCAGGGTCCCCTCTGCAAAGTGAGGGTAAGGATCAAAGGCGCCTCCCAGGGATGCTGGGGGGCTGTGCTCAGAAAGCACCCACAGAGCTCCTGGCAAGCCGCAGGTGTTCAGAACAGGGGAGCTATTTCTATTGTCCAGACAGGCCCAGCGCCAGGCTCTGCCGCCCCCCCACCCCCAGGTGAGGCTTGTAGACGGACCCTCCGCATCCACATCGCCTTGGTAACTTGTTAAAGGCCCAGGTGTCTGGGGACCCTCCTCAGACGTGCTTAGTCTGTGAGGCTGGAATGCAAGCCTACAAGTCTGTTTAGTCTTCTGTTTTCTTAAGTTTCCCAGGTATTTCTGAGGTGCTAGCAGGCTGAGAGCCCACCAGGCCTCATGGCCCTTCGGGGGCTACGCTGGCTCTGAGGGCCCTGAGAGAGGAAGCGGGCGAGAGGCTGGGATTCTCAGACACCCTTTTCCCTGAACCGCTGTCTGCAAAGGCGAGAGGACAGGCGGCAGCTGGGGCCACCCTAGGCTCTGCTGGAGCGAGTACCCCCTCCCTGCAGAGGAGCAGCCCGAAGAGCCCCTCTCAGCAGCCTGCAGAAGGCCTGCAGTCGCGCTGGGTGGAGAGGCAGGAATGGGGCCAGTGGCTGTGGGACTCCATGCACGGGACCGAGGTGTCCCAGCGCCTGCCTGCCTGCCCTCCCGCTCCTGGCTGACTTTGGACAAAGTCTCTGACCCTCTCTGGGCCTGGACCTCTGCTCTCTCGGATGTGGACCGAGGCAGGAATCAGTGAGTTCCAATCTCCGTGACCTTTTTAAAATTTAAAAGAAAAAAAATCAAAGATCTCCACGTGACACTGGTTCTATGAGACTCCTTTGGCCGTTAAAAACAGGTAGGGACAAAGGCTGCCAGGAATTCACTTACGCTTTTCAGTGATCTTGTTTTACCAGTTATCACTGGGTCTCCATCCTTTTCATCATCAGCACAGTGACAACGTGCAAAGTGCAGCATCCATTTCATCCGCAGAGGGGAGGACCGAGGTGTTCCCTCGCTCAGTTAGCTGCTCCTCTCCCCTAGGGGAGACGGGTTCCTGGGTGGATGGGACAAAGGGTCCCTAGTGTTAGCACCCAGTGGAGGGGCCAGGAGACGGGGAGATGGAGCCCCAGAGCAGTGAGCAGCCCGGGGAGCCCTGCAGGCAGCCTCACACAGGGCTTTGTCTGCAGCCCACCCGCTACAAAGAGCCACACAGGAATGAGAAGCACCACAAGCCAGTGAAAGCACCTTCAAACGCGTCTGAACCGCCAGTGCAGCTGTGTGCGAGGAACGGGGGTCAGCAGCCTCTTCAGAGCCGGGAGGTGTTATTTCTCATTTCAGCTAAGGACAGAAAGCACAGCAGCCAGGGGCTGCCGGAGGAAAGCGTCTTAGGACAAGGAGTGTTCTGGGGTTTTCTCACCACCCACCTCCTTTAATCCAGCCAACACCCCCCTCCATCTCCCATGCACTCTCACAACCAGGAGTACCAGGGACAAGCGGTCCAGGGCAGCCCTGGAAGGAAAGTTTGTAAAGACAAAAAAACACCTCCCTCAGTCCGGGCCACCTAGGGAAGCAAGACAAGAGGCTGGAGTGGATGTCTGGTCTGCACCAGGCTCCAAGGGGCGTTTCCACCGGACGTAATTCGTGCCAAAACACCCCTGCCTCCACTCCTCTGCAGAATGGGCGCTGGACGCTTCAGAGCTGGGTGCCTCCTAAGTCTGATTAGACCTACATGGAATTTAAGGCATTGTCACGCTGGAGCTTGGGGCCCAGCAGCCCCGGGAAATATGATCCAGTGGAATTATTTTCATTTGTTCAAGTAATCATATACAGTAGCTGCTTTTACTAACACGGTGTTCACTTGGCAAGAGTGCTCTTCTCACCAGAGCCAAGGAGCCAGCATTCCTGAGGCGTGAGACGCAGAGCGCAGGGACCCACGCGGGGAGACGGATCGAGGGGCTAAATCTTGATACCAGCGGGGCCGTCCACGTGGGCGGCGGGAAAGCCCCACTGGCCTGGAGCATTGGGCCGCAGCGAAGAGCTCAGGGGAAATGGCCTTGGCCCCCTGCCACCCGCCCGGGAGCCACCTGAATGCCCCGGATAGGGTGGAGGTGGCGCAGAGAGGAGCGGGCAGGGGAGGGGCGGAGAGGTTTCTACAGCAGACTGCATCCATTTCTCTTTCCTCACTTTAGATTTGTACCGAATTCTGGGGAAGGCTAGGACTGCGAGATAGGCTAGAGAAAAGGAACAGAGGTCAGAAATCAAAAAAAAAGAAGGGGTTGAGTCATCAAACTCTGATGAGCAGAAGGCAGGGAGGTCTAGCTCAGTGGTAGAGCACATGCTTAGCACGCACGCGGTCCTGGGTTCACTTCCCGGTACCTCCATTAAACAAACAAATAAATAAACCCAATTACCACCCCCCAAAATTTTTAAAATAAATTTAAAAATAAATCTGATGAGCAGAGAACGAAGCACAGTGTATATACAACCATCACCACGCATGAAATGTGCTTTAGGAGATCCAGACATTAGCGAGGCCTGGATTCTTAAACTGGACGCGTTCTAGACCAGAGCATCTGGGCAGAGGCCCTGAGGTCCTAGCCTGAGTCGCGCAGTTCCTCCCCCTTCCCCAGCTCTTCCCCATGCTCACCACGCCAAGATCTGACTACCTCTCCAGAGTTTGCAAACCACGCTCGAAACCGCTCCCTTGACCACCGTCCAGATCAGAAGTGAATTCCCCCGGAAACTGGCAGGCGGGCTGCTCTCTAGGGACATAAAAAGTTAGAACAGAGGGGAAGGCGGCGAGCAGAGAGGGGAGAGACCAGCAGTCTCGGATACGAAGATTCTCTCATTCCATTCCCTGATCCATCTTCCGTCCTGAATTCCTTTCCCATCTTCAATAATCTACTTAGACGACTAGGTAACACGTGGACGTGGTTTAAGGGGAAAAAAGACACACAAGAATACGCCGTGGAAATTCAGTCTTACTCTCACCGCTGTGTCGGGGCCCCTAAGAGCCCTCCCCAGAGTGACTGCTGTTGCCCATCCCTTGGGTCTAATCCCAGAAAGAACCGGGGTCCCCATGCCTGTGCTCACACTGGTATCATTTTTTTAAATCACGCAAACTACATATACTGTTTGCATCTGGCCTCTTCACTTAGCACTGTGTCTTGGAGACCATTTCAAGTCAGTGCACAAAGAGGCTCACAGTTTTCCGTGGCTCAGCGTCTCCCGTGGTGGGGGTCTCCCTCCCGAAGGACACTTGGGTGTTTCTGGTCTCTCACTATTTTAAATGATGCCACAGTGGGTCACTTCTGTACAGGAGTGGGAGTGAACCAGTCAGATAAATTCCTAGAAGTGGAATTACTAGTCAAAGCTGTATTTATTATTTTATTCTGATAAATATCATAAATTTTCTCTTTATAGTGGTTATAACAATACACACACCAACGGGCATCAGATGAGAATTCTCAGCCCCGAGCTTTCACCAGGGAAAGTGTCTTAGCAAACCCTGTCCTGCTTGCAACCCCGACAATTAAAAACGTGGTCTCACCCTCATGGCTTATGTTTCTCTATGAGGCGTATTTTCTTATATTCAAATGCTACTTGTATTTCCTTTTCTGTGAACTGTTCATAAAAATCCATTTTTCAGTGAGTGAAGAATTCTGAATATAGTCATAAAAATGCAATGTATGGCAACATGTATTGCAAAATGTCATGCACTGTAAGTATTTTGTATCTAGTTATTTGTTTTTTTATTTTGTTTGAGGTAATTGTTCCCAAGCAGAAGTCTAATTTATTTATTTTGGTTTTTTTAAAATGGCTTCTAGTTTTTCGTGTCCTGCTTAGAGAGATCTTTCTCTCTCTCTCTTTTTTAAAACTTTTCCTGGACTTTTAGGGTTCGTTTTTTTACATGGAAATCTACTCCTTTTGGGATTTATTTCAGTGTTAGGAATAAAGTCATACATCACACGTTATTATTTTTATTATTATTTATAAGAGCATTCTTCCAGCACCATGTTACCTCCAGTGATTTGACAAGCCACTTTTCTTTTACATTCATTTCAGATCCATTTTTATTTCACGCTCTTGCCTGGATTTACTTCCGGGCTGTATTTTGCTCATTGCTCTTCCCTGGACTTTGAATCCACGTAGCTTTATTTCTACTTAGCTTTCACCATCCATCCTGAGTTCATTTTCTCTTCGTGCTGTTGCTCCAGAGATTTGCCCATCAGCTGCCCCGACACCCTGTGCACAGGGAGAGAAACCACAGCCCCAAGAGGCCCCAATTATTTATTTCACTCCCTGCCCGGCATCGGGCCAAGGACTTTCTGTGAATTATTTCGATTAATGCTCAGCCCAGTTCTACGGCATAATTGCTCTCACTGCTCCCACTTCACAGGCGAGGGAGCCAGGCTTAGGAGGGGAGATCATTTGCCCAGTTCAGTAAGAAGTGAATCTTCGTAAACTCTTTGCCTACTTCGATTCGTTTCTTTTCCCTGCTTCGGGGCATTCCTTCCTTTGTCTGTGTTCCTTCCTTTAACCGTTCTATAACTATTTCCTGAGCCATAACAAGAAAGATGAAAACTCGTGAAGACAAAACTCCCCGCGTGGTGCTCAGAAGCCGGTTGATGTGGAAGTTCCATGTTCATCTCAAGCAAATGACCTTCACGTGAGGCTGCTCTGTAACCAGGAACCCAGGGGCCCGTGAGGCATAGGGTGGAGGCATTCACCCAGCAGCAGGCAAGGGTTCCCCAGGCCACGCTGCCCCTCACTCACTCCCAGGCGTCCGTGGGTGTCAGTGTGGTCCCTGTTGGAGAATCGTTCATCCCACATCACGTGCCCATCAAGACACAGCCTGTGGGGACCGTGCCCTGTTCCCAGTGCTGTGGCACTGAGACACTCGAAGGGCCCGGGAGTCAGAGCCCCGAGCGGCCAGCTCATCACTGTCCGTTCCCAACAGGAAGAGGCTCTCGTCCACCCCACTGCCGGCTGGGCCAGGAGCTCATAGTACGATCCTTTCGAGGTCAGGTGACATCTCTGGCACAGCCGCCCAGCCATTGAGTGGGTTTTTTATAGCCGGTGGCCTTACTCGGCAGGAAGGAGTCGGATATTATACGCTGCCTATTTCTCTCCGTTTCATTCTGCGTTTCTTTAAAGACTAGCTCCCAGGTCTCCCGGCTCCCACGGAGCTTCCCGCGTCCGAGGCACGGAAAGCCCTCTCGCCTCCCTCGGGGCAGGGACCCGGGTGGGTTGGGGGGGGCAAAGGGCCCGCTTTTCTCGGAGGAAAGGAGGACGTGGGTGATTTATTGGGAGTGAACTTGCTGATGTGTGACGGGAAGTCCAGCCCTCCTTCTCTGAACAGGTGGTCCTCACACGACACGCTCTGAAGGGTGCGATTCATCACCAGCCCCAGACTGCACTGCACCACCTGTCACAGCGGGAACCAGGTTCTTTTCCCGTAAAAATCGCTGCTCCTCTGTTCTGTAACCGTCTCTGTTCCTGCCCGTCCCCGCAGAGCCACGACTGCTGAGGCCGGGGAGGGGGTGGGCACTGGAACCTTCTGGGCTCCCAGTCAAAACCAAGGATGGGCTCCTTCAGGGCAACCAACTTGGTCCTTAAACTGGGAAAGATGGTGAAAGAGCGCAAGTGGGGAGAGAGTCACCGTGTTAAACAGACGCGCTGGGAAGGGCTTAGAAAGCCACCCGTCTCCGCCCTCCACTGACCGCCCGCCCCCCTGCTCCCCCACCACGCGGTCTGCAGAGAAGGGGCCGGAGGCTGGTGGGGAGGAGGTGCCACAGTCACACACAGGAGCCGCTAAGTGGAACCTGGCCCTCAGTCCTGCCCCACTAGGCCCTTCTGGCAGCGGACTTGAGGAAACAGCTTCTTTCGTCCTTTCCTGGTCCTTTCTCTGAATGGAATAGCATCGCGGTGCTTAGCAGCAGGTGCCGGGACTGGAAGTCCGCAGACACCCCTCCACCCACGTGGCACAGACAGCCCGCCCCTGACGCTGGGCTGGGGCTTCCTCATTGTGAAGGAGTTGGGGGTGGGGGGCCACGACAGTCCTGAAGTCGCTTCCTGGGGCCCTTCCCGCCTCTGCCTCCAGGATGGCTGAGCTCTCCTGGTGGTGGTCTGAGGACGGGAAGGAGCTGCTCGCGGCCAGGGGACCGCCATGCCTTGGTTATCGCTGATCCTCTGTCTGTTTCTCTCACAGCCCAGCTTCCAGGAGGAATGCAAGTTCAGAGAAACCCTCCTGCCCAACAATTACAACGCCTACGAGTCAGCCCTGTACCGAGGCGCGTACATCGCACTGAGCAAATACGGACGGGTGAAGCGGGGCAGCAAGGTGTCCCCGGTCATGACTGTCACTCACTTCCTTCCCAGGATATAAGGGCCCTGAAGGGAGGCAGCTTTTCTGTTGGAATTTTGCACAAATTAACAGTTGTCCCCTCTCCCTGTGACTCCTGGGTTGGGCTCTTCTGGTGCTTGGGGAGACCAGGGTCGGTCCCCTTGGCCGCCGGACCCCTTGGTGTGCGACCCACCTGAGTGTGTGGTTGCAGCCAGTATTCTAGAATGGCAACTGATCCCACGCTCTGACCTCACCTGAGGAAAGAAGATAGAGATGACACCTGTGGAATGTGACCTTGGGGACAGGAAAAGCAGGGAGGAGGCACGTGTGTGTTGAGGTACAGCCAC